AGTAATTGTTAAATTACCCGGCTAATATAATTTGATAGGTTCCCCTGTACAAATTGTTGTTTTCTGTTGTAATTTATTTTAAATGTAAAAAAGATTTAATAATTTTAATTTAAGGCTATGAACTATTTTATAATTCTAAAACACTATTGAACTAGTGATATAATGTTTATAATGTTGAGGGTGCGGACAGCGGACCCACATAAGACCTTAGAGTAGGTAATAACTAATAGTTGTATCAAAATAACGAACAAGACGTATGAAAAATTAACTAAAAATTTGAATTAATTGATTTGAAATATTATAATAGAAAAGACAATTTTAGCAATATATGCATATCATTAATTATACATATAATTATAAAATAAACATTTTACTAAATAAATATAGATCTGAAATAATTATAAACATTTACCAATATATTTATAAGGATCTATAGTATTTCCCTGAAACAATTGAAAATGTATTAAAAATCATAACAAATAAATGTTTGGGTTTTTTATCAAGTTAGTTGACATTAAGTAATAGTACACAACCTAAAAAAATAATAAAAGGTATTTTATAAGTGGGTACGTATACGTATTTTTGTGGAAAATATTAATCTATATTTTATTTACTGTGATTGTTGATTATACTTTCTTATAGGATCACCTCTATTGTGTGTTTGTGTTCAAGACCAATCCCCTTTGGGCTTTTAATCCAATTTATTGCTCTGGCGCGAAAAGAACCTTTGTATCACAAAATCTCAACTGACAAAGTTATTCCATTATTTTCTTTTTCAGTTTACAAATCACAAGGTTCGATATATAATGATTTTTAAAGTAGCAAAGTTTTGAATTGGAAATTAGGTATTCTTAAGTCTTTCCTATTAAGTTTATTGTTATTATACTAAACTATCATGATTCCGATACATATTAGTACATATAAATATTAAAAAAAATGAAATACATGTAATTCATTATAAAAAAATATACCTACCTATTGTATCATGTGATAAAAAAAAAATTCTTAACGCTAATCGGTTTCAACGAGGTAATTATATTTATATACACTTTTTAAGTGGTTTAAAGTTAACTTTTGGCAAGTAAATTGAAGAAATCGTCAAACGAAAAATATGTTGACAGTTAAATACTTGGCTTATCTAGGTATAAAAAATAAAAGAAATAGTTAGGCTGGCACAGAGACAATTTAATTTATGATAATGCAAATGTTTATGTGTGAACATTTTTAAATGTTCATTATATATATATACATATTTGTTTGTCATTTTATCCAAACAAATGATTTTCTTATTTGAGAATATAATTGTAGTGATAGATTCATTAAGAGTTGTGTTCTAAGTTCCACCTATATTACAATATTTGTGTGAATGTTCTTTTGAATTAAAATTTTTAGCAATTAACAATCATTTATTAACATAATATCGAAAAATGAAAATCAATTTTATCAATGTATTTGTAAATCAAGACGATGTGTATTTCAACGTTGAAACCATATATTTTTATTAGCAGCTTGTTTAATTTTTTAAACATACAATGTATCAACTGGTCAAACAAGACACACGCTTACAAAAAAAAATAAACGTAACGTTTTGATTTATCTTATTGATGCGATTGTGTTTTTCGGAGTGTAGTAGTGTAATGGTATAGCCTTTAATGTGAAACACTTTATATAATACATACGATTATTCATAACTATACCATGGTATTATATTTTGATGATGCCTACAGTTACAAAAGAAATCACAAAGTCTGCCCTCAAACAAGAGATAAGACTGAGATGTCGCATTAGTCCAGTAGCCCATAGCTTATAGTCAATATAGCTAATATTAGTAATTCAGTGGACATTAGACCACTTAAGTGTATACAAATACGACCTCATCTAAGGTTTATAAGATATCAGAATAATAGCAGTAGTCATTTAAATAGAAATGTAACTCCACAAATGACGAGCGACGTGTATGTCATATGTATGTTTATATCGATCGTTTGATATATATACCTATATATGCACAATTGTATGTCGTTTTTATAAAAACTAATCGTCCTTTTCAATGTAAAAAAAATGATGATTCATAATTTTTTTTTTTTAATTAATTTTTTATTGCATTTTAAATGTCTTCGTAATAACTTATCTCTATTATTGTATATGTTTATAAGCTTAACATTAACTATTATTAAAACATTCTTAGTTTAAAAACTAAAAAAATATATAACCATTGAAAGGTTAATATCACAACTCTAAATGAATAGAACAGTAATTTGTATTTACTGTTTAAAGTATTTATGTTTTTGTGCTTTTTATTGTTTAAATGTAGCTATGTCAATTGTCACCATACCTTGTATATACAGTCCGTCGAGTTTATTTTTAAACTCTTGTTGCGCTACCATGTTTTTCAAATATATTATAACGCCTTAACCGTATTCTAAAAAAAATTCGCCGAAGTTTATTTTTCCTTTGAAATAATTTAATATCTATAAATGATGTCCAATCCAACGTACATTGGTATATAAAAAAAAGAGGCGTTTCTATTTTGCACTTAGTCCACTATGACAATTATTATTATTTATCATCATAATCCGGAAAAGGGTAGTTTACTGATGATTTCAGAATTGGTAGCATTAAAATGATATAGGTAATCATCGACTTAATTATATTAGAAGGGTTTAAGGCGATAGGTCTATCTATTCAATCGTATACCCGATGGGCTATGGTCTATAACCATCGGAATAGTGTATCAATATTATTTATTTACTTAGCACTAAATGTGTTATTATTGACTAAACGTTATGCATTTTGACATTTTGTGGATTATACTAGTCATGGTGAGTACGACAAGAGTTTTTTTGTGATAATATTCTTGAGGCGGTAGCATGACAGTGGAAGAAAAACTTTTGAGGACTGAGATACACTTATGAAAAAAAGATGATTATCATCCATTTTAACTTTTTTCTGAGTAGAATTATTTTATTTTTTAGATAGGGGATGGGATTATCCTGAATGCAGTCCGCCTCGGTGGTGGCAGAATTGAGAATTTTCGGGAAAAATATCCTTGGCAAAAAATTTGGGTGCGGTGGGTGGCCACTGCTTTACTGGGCACTGAATGACATTTGGGTGTTATTCGAAACTTCAATTCAGGGGTCGGTGGGTTGTAAAAAGTTTTCCGTCTCATGATTAAAATTTGTTCACGGTTAGGTACTGGGCCCGTCCTACCACCACCACTTGTTTTAGGAGGACCGTTCTATTTACGTTCTAATTGAGTTATTAAGAAGGCGACTGATAATTCAACAAAATATATATTATTTTATACGTTCTTAAGATTTAAATGTTTTTGTATATAGATATATATATATATATATACAGTATGATATTATATTTTACGCATAAACGGTTTTTAGAAAGATACAACAAAAAATCATGGAAAGCCGACGAGTCTTTCATATCAGGAAATTGTTTCAAGGCCGTCAACCGAGGCGTCAACCCATCCACACGGGTCGGGCCAACCACTGTCTCCATATATTTGCCGACAAAGAATCAAGGAAACGGCGACTCACTGGTGGGCCTCGGGAACGCATGCGCCGCCGCGGAGACAGTTTAGAAGCGATTAATATGTTATAAATTAAATTACTTTAAGTGATGTTAAGCCTGACAAGAATACATAATTATGACAATTTAACGACGATAAACTTGAGTATAACACCAGTACATTTAGGTAATATCTCTCATTTATATCCAGTGGCGCAACTAGGGGGGTGCAAAAAGGTCTTTAGCACCCCCAAGTTAAACTTTATATCTAACTTTTATTATTTTATTGAAATACCATGAATGTTATGTTTTTAAATATTATGATAAATTTCCTGAAAAAATATTTAATTATTTGATCGTAAGTCTTATAATATAATTCATTCTAATTCATTCCATACACGGATATTCCCGTAATAATAAAGCAAATAATAAAACTGGTTAAGATCAAGTATGCTTCATCAAAGGTTTACCAATTTATCTTTGCTGAATATTGAAAAAGATTTATTAAATCAGCTTAACACTGAAACTATTTTAAATAAATATTGTATGAAACCTAGAAAAATTATGCTAATTTAAAATGTATTATATATATATAAGTTATTTACCAACAAAATTATGAAATTATAATGACGTATCCTTATGTTACTGAAATTTTAGCAAAAAAGTATTATAAATTTATTTTCTTTTATTTATGTGAAGTGCGTTAATATATGTTTTAAAATGTTGAATTATCGAGCATTGCAGGCTCATGTGTAGGGGGTGTGGGGGGCTCTGTGGTGCATTCCCATATTTAGCACCCCCTGTTTTAGAGGTCTAGTTGCGCCTATGTTTATATCATACAAAAGAGTTTTGTATATTTTGTTCAAAAATATTTCAAGTTACAGTTACTGAAGATGCAAATGCGGATGACCTTTTGGGTCACGGGGGTAAAGCCCCACGGTGGCTCAGCGTGGTCTACGGAATGGTCTTGACCCCTCCACAGGTGGTTGGCGAGCGAGCAAGCAGAGGGCAAAGCCCCCGAGTATATTTATGTTTTTATTTACAGTAAGCGAAGCGTAAATGGCTTTTCGAACGGTATTACAAAAAAATTCACGAAAACCCGTCGCGAAACACACGTCTCACATCAGGAAATTTTCTCAGGGGCGTCAACCGCGGTTATAGGCAAACAACCAGGTCTGGGGCCGACCACTGTCCCTCCCCATAATATTATATTATAGGCGCTGCGACTGAGGAATCGCGCGTAAATGGCTCGACTCGAGGGTGGGCAGCGGGTGGGCACGCAAGCGCCGCCGACTATACGGTCAAGAAGCACTTGTTGTCCGCCGCCACCGTCGACGACCACGGACGCGGCGGCGGCGCGGCGGCGTGACATCGTATCGCACACACACGTTCGGCGGCGCGCGCGTTGGCCCGCCGGCGTGTACACACAGAACAGAAGAGCGTCCCGTCGACTCCGCGCGCGCCAGTCGTCCCGCCGACTCGTCGCTTCAGTCGTCCCGCGGCCGCTAATACTACAGCCGGCGACCGACCGGAGCGATCGCGGGCGCTCGTGTGTGCTTGTGCGTGTGTCCCGTAGTCGTACGTCCGTTTCGTTCCGCGATAATTGCATAGTATGTTTTGTACACACGCGCGTGCGACACGCGGCAGATGATAATAATAGCAATAATAATAATAATATCACGAAATATTATATAATGCAATCATATTACCACGACGCTATGTCACGTTCACGCATTACGTTCCATTAAGATATGACGTAATTATCATCACCGGGCGAAAATCAACAACATCATAATATTATTGTTATTATAATATTATAATATTGTTTTACGGTCGCGCGCACGCTACCATATAATTTTATAACATCATATATTATACGATATACGGCTGTCGTATGCGACGCGGTCCGACCGCTGCAGCACGCGTCGTATTACCACCATCATCATGTCCGGTGGTAACCGCGCCGGAGAGTCTCGTCGGTCCGGTGAACGGAGGTAATATCGTCGTCCGGTAACCGCCGCCGCCGCCGTCGCCACCGGTCGCCATCGGCCCACACGTCGTCCGCGGTGATGGCGTAACCGCGACGCCGCTGCATCGGACTGCGACTGCACGCCGACTTGCAATAGGTAGGTACCATGCAGATGCACCGACGACCAACTCCCACCCCTACTTTACACTCGGCCTCCCCCCCCCCAAATTGCACGCCTATATAATATTGTACCTCGCCGCCGACGCCACTCTTGCTTGCACCGCAGACGTGCAGAAGACACGCGAGGTTCGACGACGGGCGACGACGGTTCTTGACATTTTTTTTTTTTTGCCGTCGCATCTTTTTCCAAGACGTACCTAAAATGCTGTTCACTCGAAAACTATGATTTGCAACCCGCATATAGCCCCACTGATTGACTAGGACGGTCGTATGGGAGAGAGGATTGGGAGTAGGTACACCACAATTACATTTTCAAATTTTAGCGTAGGTAGTTTTGTTTTATTGTTCGCAATAGGACGCACGTGATGGTACTTTATTTAGGATTTTTGACAAAATTACAGCGTAAAACATTTTTTTTTATATAAAATGTGTTGTACCACGTATATAAATTATTAATTAGCTGGGGACGCACGTTTTTTTTTGTCATCAGAACACCTCCGCTATTTCTTTTCCAAGTCAAGCACTGCGAATATTAGGGTTATAACTTTTAATATATTATGGGCGTTAGGGATTTAATTTCGCCCGAGCTTAATTCTAAAACAATGGGAGCATATCGCGCTAATACGAATCATTCATAATTTTATTAACGTCTGATTTAAATTGTTTTGTAAGTTTTTAGGATAATCAACGAGCGACCCGATGTAACGATCGAATAATAATTAGGTTTCTAACATAAAACTTGGATCACTAAATACCATTAGTTTAAATTAAGTAAAGCCTGTCGCTTTAATCGATCATCGCTACAATACTGCAATATTCCAAACTGCGAGTAAAATATTTGATCACTTATTTATTTAGATTAAGTTTGAAAATAGAATATTTCTCCACATAGATGCGTATACTTAGTATAGATAATATAAGTGGACATTAACCGACACCGTGAAACAGTCATATAGGGAGCAAACATTGTAGGTTATTAACGCATCACGCCTAGGCATTTTATTATATTTTGTATAATCTAGACTTTTTCAATATTTGAACAAATATTTTTATTTGTTTTAATTATTAATAGTAATTGTTTCTTAGTTATTTTACTTTTCTTATACTTTTCTGACATGCCTAGCCATGATAACATGTCTACCTAACTTATAAACTGAACTCTAACAATACAATCTATGCTTACAGGGGGTGTTGCATATTGTTTATTTGTCTATTTTATTATGTGTATTGTGTACCTGCAAAAATAAATATTATTATTATTATATTATTATTAATTAACAAGAACTCGTGGATACTGAATGCTGAACGTGGTACTGTGGCCTGTCGCCGTCGATGTTAAACACTGTTATAATTTTTTAACTTTTATATTGTTTACTAAAGCAATATGTGTAGTACTGTAGTATGGTATAATGAGGGCTCCTACTTGTTTCATTTTTCTTGGATAATTTAATTGTGTATAATTTTCATTCGACGTACCTATCTACTTTTATACAAGTAAATCAAAACGGTATTAATGTATAATATGTACATTGTATTGTACAAGTTGTCAGCTGATCACTTTTGGAGGTGTACTATCATATCATAGAATTTTTAAATTTCATCCCAGATTATAGTCGGGGCTAAAAACGTGACCGAAGTTCTGGTTGGAAGGTCACAATTGTTATGGAGTGTAACGTGGAACCACAACTCACGTAAGTGGAAGTGCTTGGGGAGATTTCCACAAAAAAAAATTATTTTTTCATTAATCCTTCATAAATGGTTATAATTATTATATCTGGCGACGAACAAATTCCGGATGTCACATAAAAATAAAATTATAGACATCGCTTTAAACTGTAGTTCTATTACAACGTGTATTTTCTTCTTCCAGCGTGAATATAATTATATGCATATCAATATATTTTTAATATTATTGTTGTGTATACCTTACATATTGTGTTTATTTTAAAAATAATAGCAGAAAACCTGCTCTCGGATTCAGGTTTTTGTAACTGTCATTTATGGCCCTTTCCTCTTTACCCCTGCACAGTATAACCACAGTTTGTGGACATTAATAATGTTCCATCCACCCGCAAAATGAGAAATTTATGTCGAAAAAGCAATTAAAACGACTTACGCCACCACGAGCTACCAGCAATAATTATTTTTCTCGTTCACATACACAGGGTGTGTATAACCGCATTCTCTCATTTTTCGTGTGCTAACTGTACTGAAAGTATAGTAGTCCACCCTCTACCTAAGAATATATTATAATATAAACAACACTTTTTTACACATTTATCCTTTGGCTGCTGTACAATTGCACGTACATAGAAAGAGTTTAGCACTATGCAATACTTGAAGACTTGAGAGAAATTATGTATGAAACGTTGACTATACAATGCAAAAATAATCATTATTTTCCTTGTTTTGGGACTTTGAGCTTTATTCAGTATTGAGTATTTTTAATAGGGATTGTAAGTAATTTTAAAAACTTAAGAATTGTTATTCTACTATTGATTTTTAAATACAAGTTCCCTAGCTATTTTTTGACTTTGGTTTGGTTTTAACATTTCTAACAATGCTTCTTTTTTCTTTACATATAAGCAATATTTAAAGTGTTGATCAAAGGAGCATTTCTCACTTAGAAATATTTTTATTAAAATAAAAATGTATATATAATATATAACAGGCAGGCAGGTAATCAAGAAACTAGGAAAAATAAATAGTCTTCGTTTCGTGACCATTTGGTGTGATTATCTGAAAACAATTAAAATTACTATTTATATAAAAGCATTTAAGAGATATGGGAAGTTAATAGGTAGTTGATATTTTTACTTGTGTAGCACAACCTTACAAAAACCGTCCAAAATTACACATTTCACATGCGTACAAAGTACCTACATGCTATATTGCTATGAACTTTTTCAATCCAAACCTGAGTAAAAAACGAGTAAAATGACCATGCTACATACCGAATACCTACATAAAATAATTAATGAATATAAAAATATTTAGGTATTATTATTATTTTTAATAAGAGGGAAATTCAAAATGGATTCTAGGTAATTTTTTATTTTTCAAGTTAAAATTTAACTATTATTTTTTATTGGTGTATCATCATTCATCTGATATTAGACAGCAATTTTATGACAGTGTTTTAAGAATTTTTTTTTTATTTCTTAAAAACATACATACAAAAATGTATATTCTGAAAAATAATTTGCTTGAAAAGTTTTTAGAAAACATAAATTCTATAATAGTTATAGAAAAAATGCAATTCAAACGTTTGCTTACCGACATAACATATTTTATGAAATTAGTTACCATTAGTTACAATACAAATACATTTGAAATACATATGATATATCTAATGTGTATATTCTTGTACCTATATTATTGCAACATTTAAAAATAAGTCTAAGTACCTACCTACATTTTTTTTGTTACATAATATTTTGTAATAAGTCAATAATAATAATTTTTTACAATGTTAGATAAAAGTGATAAAACTATGAACACTGCTTAATTCCGTAACACGACAATAAAAAAATATGAATTATAAATATTTGTTTCGTACTTGGAAATTATTATTTTTAATTTTTAAATGACTCACAAAATATGATTGTGTTAGATTCTGAGCGATTTCTTACTTTATATTAGTTTAACAGTGCTGTATGTTATATACATTTATTATACGTGTATACGTTTTTGTGTCTGAAGTCACTTTTTATGGTGGATGGAAACAATGCTTCGATGGTGTTTTTTCCCGAAAATTGGATCTAGTTGATGCTTTGAGCTTTCGGGAGTCAAAAATAGAATTTTCTCGGTACTTTAAAAATACCTAATTGAGTGAAAAAAAAAAAAAATACTAAAAACTAGAGTTTTTACGCAAATCCAGAATTCAAAAGATTTAATTCTTGTTTTAATTCAAAAACAAATAACCGTTCGTATAAACTAGAGATTTTCATAAATTATTTGTATCGATATTTTAAAGACACGAAACAATTCTAAATAAAATGCTAACTCTTTTTCGCTGTACCTATTTGAAATTTTGAAATGTTTGTCTTTTTTAGTTTTTATTTAATTTATGTATGATAAAATTTTGTTCATGAGTTAAAACGCTTAAAAATGTAACACAAAGTTCCTCACTAATTTTAATTAGGTGCGGAAATTAAAAAATGTCAAACATTAATAGGAACACACGATTTTTTTTGTTAATGACATTTTTCAAAACCACTAAATTCGCAAAATATTTTGTAGTTAAACATGCACTACATTTTTAATTTTCATACTTAGGGTTTGAATATATTATACATGGTTTCTCATAAGTTTTTCATACTAAAATTAAAAAAAAAAGTTTTGTGTAAAGTCAAGTTAATTATTTATGAGCGTTTAGTATCTAAAATGTTGATGAAATTCGTCAAAACCGGGAAAATTATTATTATTGGCTGACGTAACGTCTCCCTTTTCATCGTATAGTTTGGGTCATTAAATTCAAATTTAACAAATTTATTTCATCAGTTTAACCAATTCAATGACGAAATACAGTCTACACGACGACACCTCTTTGACTCAATCTATATTTCATAGTATTTTTAACTTGATTAAGTTTATCTATTGAACTAATTTTTAAAATATAAAAACCGATTCATATTTATTTCTTGGGTTTTATAATGATAATAAACAAAAGGCTGTCATCAAACCTGCTTGGTATATATTCATATAATACATAATATATTTGATAATATAATCGGTCACAAATGTATTGAAATAAATTATAATTAGTATTTGAATTTCGTCTGCCTTTGAGTTTCGATTTATTTAGAGCCAATCAACTACATAGTACAAATAATTGGATGGGTTGATTTTCAGTTTGATGGAAGGCACTGAAAGCTGAGCGGAGTACCTACATAAAGTTCTTTCTCTGAGATTATAACGTTTTAACGATAGCGTAAAATTCTAAAATATATTAATACCTATGTTATATCAGTAATCTTTATTTCTATTATTAATTAATAACAATTTATATTTTGTTATTAATTAAATTCTTAAAATTCGACAATATTTATAAGCCTATACATAGTTATTTTTATAATAATAATATTAATAATAATAATAATAATAATAATAATAATAATAGTAATAATAATAATAATACGTTTATTTCCATCAAATAAGTTTACATATAGTATTAGCCTAAGCTGTAGGTTATGTAATATAAATAGTTACAGATACTATTTGATGTTGATTTACGTAATATATTTTTCAATAGAAACGAATTAGTTTTTTTAATTAAAAATATAAACTAAGAAATTGTTAATGTTTAAAACAACTACCACGTGTTTAGCTGGAATATTGCCAAATAATTGTGTTCAAATTAGTTAAATAACCTAGTTTTTTATTCACTGAGATTAGACGAGTAAACAAAAAATAGGAATCTGAGATGGTTTCTATTATAATCCAATTTTTCTATATAATAATGATGATTGACTTTTCAGATTAATTTGTAAAACTGTGTAAATAAAGATGTCAGTCAATATAGGTATTTATATATTTTTTTATTTATTGAGTTCTATACGGTATTCCTTTGATATTATTAAAAAAACACGATTTCCACAAAACGTATCCTCTAAATACTTAAATGTACACTTGGAAATTTGGTTTTTTAGATCTGCATACATCTATCAATACCCATATTCAGTGTTCACATATAATGTAAATAAATTAAATTAAAATATGATGCTTGTTGTATTTATTTTCTAATTATGAAATTAAAAAAACAAAACTTATTTGGTATCGTACTTCCATATAATTTTAAAGCTCATGTTGGTACAACAGACTTTATAAATAAGTTATAAAGTAAACAAAAATATAATATTTAGCATAATTTTTTCAATCGGTTCATAATTATTATACATCAAGAATTTCTGGGATGTCAAAAATGATACTTTTCTTCACATAAAATGTTTCATTAAAATAGCAAATATAGGTTATGTTAATCGGCATCTAGGCTTCGGGTTGAGAGTTGCTTAACATATAATATTTAGTTTAGTGTTTTAAAAATTATGATATGTTTGATATTTGTGTCTACTAATTTTATGTAATCTATTTTAATTTAACTTGAGTCAATACATACGTGTAACATCAAAGACGGACCGGAAGGGTTTCACTATTCTCAGTAAATAACCTGCCTAAATATCCATTTGCAGTCGCCAAATATACTTATTTTACTGTATGTACAGTGGACGCTCAGATATACTGGTTCATATATAGTAAGTATATCACAGAGCAGTTAGCCAGTAAACTCTGTTTTCTTGATTTTTCATAAATTAATGATTACAATTTTTACCGAAATTATTATTATAATTATATGATTTGCATCAGTCGAAAATATTATTATCTTATACTTACCTAACGGATAATAAAACTATTTTGCTTTTACACCTCTCTCTAAGCGACAAAATACGTATATATTATTGTATTTTGTTCTTATTTTTGTGCTCATTTTGATGTGTTCTTGTGATGACCGTATAAATCCGGGATGGGCAACTCAAAGTTACTAGAGGGCCAATTTCTAGAAAATTAAAATCTAGCGGGCCAGAGCATAAAAAGCAAAAAAAGTGGGGGGTTTAAAATATACATTTTAATCAGCATTTATTTTGTATATAATGTAATTTGAAAAAATAGCCAGATAAAAAAGTTGCCCACCCCTGGTATAAGTGTTAAAGATTTGTATGATGCTGGGTGCTGAGTATTTTGTTTGTATATACTAATTATTTAATATTCTTATACTANTTTGTTCTTATTTTTGTGCTCATTTTGATGTGTTCTTGTGATGACCGTATAAATCCGGGATGGGCAACTCAAAGTTACTAGAGGGCCAATTTCTATTAGAAATTTAAAATCTAGCGGGCCAGAGCATAGAAAGCAAAAAAAAGTCATTTAAAATATACATTTTAATTAGCAATTGTTTTGTTTATAATGTAATTTGAAAAAGTCTCGAGGGCCGCGAGTTGCCCACCCCTGGTATAAGTGTTAAAGATTTGTATGATGCTGGGTGCTGAGTATTTTGTTTGTATATACTAATTATTTAATATTCTTATACTATTATTTAGGCGAGTCTGCGTTGTGTGCGTTGGATAGCAGCACAGCCGCCTAATCTAGACTTGCATCTCATAAAAATTCTTCTTCAATAAGGCATTTAACTACATCTGCCGAATTCGACACTAACACATGAATAGAGTTTCATATACAAACATAAAATTATTAATTTTATATTAATTTTCACATGGCTGCTTTTGAAGCATAAAATTATACTTGGATAAAATTATGACTTGGAGGAGGGGGGGGGGGGGGTTTATACATTTATCGTTCCTTGAACACCCAATATCCTTCAAAATAGTCTTTAGAATTGGTTGAAAATAAATTAAGTTCCTTAGGCTTGATTAAATTATTAAAAACACCGAGCTGAATGCATATGAACGTATATCTGCCGACAAGTACATAAATCTCATGACGTTGAAAAATCTATTCGTTTCAAGAAATTAAAGTTATCCACTTTGTGTTATTCCAAGGAGGGCAAAAACATTTAATGAAATGAACAAAAATGAAACGCTTGTTGTGTAAAAAATATATTATACTCAGAATATGGATATCTTTCATTAAGTAGTTGTCAACTTGACGAACAGAATGATTTCACTGAATGAAAACGACTACATATAAGGACAATAAGGACATAAACATAGACAACATTTGTTGTAGGCTACATTGGTTGTTCCTAAGAAAGAAATATAATGTACCTATACTAGCTGTGGATTCATGAATTTAAAAAAAAATATGATATAATATCATACCTATTATGTTTTAAATTTAATAATAATACTACTATACGGCGTCTACGTAGGTACCTTCTTAGTATACCACATTGAACCACATAAATATTTTTTTCTCATTTTATATTATAAGTATATTATACTATAAACTATTTTTGTCATGAAAGCACTTTATATGGATAGATGAATAATTATGGATGTATCAAATACATTTACCGACGAAAAATCAAAAGTTATGAATTCATTGTTTCTAAAACGCATCTAAGAACTTAGTGATTCTCAGAAAATATCATAACAACAATACTGGCTATTGCTGAGGTATTCAATTTTATTGAACCATATAGGTAGTGAACGCTAATGGTAATACATTTTTCCTGTTACACTTGTGGGTGTGTTACAGTTTTGTATCACAATGTGCCTAATACATTTAAAATCTACAGGTGAATATACATTCCATGCGATTTAATAACATTATCACACGAAGAATATGACATAGTGGTTGTTAAGTTAAAGCCATCATATGGTTTTTTAAATTTTTTGTTATGATTCTTTTTTTTTTTTACTTCGGCGAATTACTTTTTGTAGGAAAAAGTGATGTAAATAAATAATGTTTTTTAGTGTACAGTATGAACATTTTTTTTTTTGAGTTAATATCAGAGGGATTTAATATTATCATGGGTACCTATTACCTTATTATATGGGTCTTTGAAATGATTCTTTAATATTTTTTAACATGAGCCTTAATTTAAAAAATGACCAATATAAGATTATTTTTGAGTAATTGTTTTTAATACATTCAATTTAATAAAGTAAAAGTGAACTTTTAACATAACAGAATAATATAAAACTATAAATAAGAGTTTGCTAACCATTATATATTATTTTTTTAACGGGAGTAAGGTATTTTATATTGGTATTATTTTTTATTTTTTTATTTAAGATTTTTTGAATTATATTTCAAGGTAAGATTTTTTTCAATATATATGTATAATAATTAACGTTGTCTTATACTTTGAACGAAATGATGAATGTTTTGGTTTTACATTATTGTTTGTTTTTTAAGATGTTTGTGTTCAAATACGTTTATTGTTGTTGTAGCATAAATGTTTCAAAGGTCGGGTGGTTTCTGGTAGCAAATTGGATCTAGTTGGTACTTAGAGGGTCAAACGTAAAAGAATCTCACTACTTTTCTTAATAATCAGTAGAAACGGGAATATTTACGCAACACAAGTTTTGACAAAATCGATTTTGTTGTAACTAATTCAAAAACGAATCACCTTAGCGATACTTGAAATTTTCACTATATATTTAATATTTATATTCTCATTTTCTAGTCCAAATATTTTTTTTTTTTTTTGAGCTATTAATAGAGATTTAATTTTTTGTTTTTCTCTATGAACGTGTCAAACATTTTATTGCTTATTTGTGGTCAAAAGCTTGAACATTTCATACTTACAAGATTTTCTTCTTGGAATTAAAAACACAGTGCTGCATAAAGCCACATTAATTTTTATGGGCGTTCGAAATTTAAATTATAACGAAATTGGATATTTACAAGTAAAGTAACGACTTCTCCATGAATTATTTTTATTATTCTCTTTTAGTTAAAATAATATTATTTGTAGAAACTTGAAACTATCTGATCAGCCATTATTGAACTATTATAATCATAGGTAATTATTATTATTTCTATACATAATGTCATTTTCAAAATTACCTTAAGCTACCTATTTAAAAGTAAATTTTCGATTTTTCAGTTACAATAATAATTGTTAGATACCGAATCCGTCATACAATATAATATAGTATTATAATATAATATTTTAGCAATGATAATAAAAGACTTGGGTGAAAATCTAAAATTATTTTGGTAATGAAATTTAGCGGCTACCAATGATTAAAGATGTAATTAATCATTTAAGTATTAACAAATCTATATTCTGCACAAATATGTAATAACTAATTACATGAGATTCAGTTATAGGTACTTTTCTTCTTAATCTATTTTATTTGATAGTTGACTAACTATATACATTTATTGTTTATTATTACTTGTTTTTTTCTCAGGTGCTTATCGAGGGGCCTGTACATTGATATTGGGGACTCTTCACATGGTATGTATGAGTTTGATATTATATTTTAAACTGTGCATTACAGAACGATACAAGGGTGAATTAAAAAATTATTCATTTGAGCGATGTTGAATTTAACATTTTGATAGATTTTATAATATGACATTATGAAATACATAATTGTGATTCTATTATTATTATATGGTTTTAAATAGCACAAACATATTAAATTAAATTTTGTTTATCGCGTTTAAAATCCAATCAGCGATAAAATTTAATTTAAAAGCGATTTATTTAAGTTAACTACAGAACCATTAGAGTTGTTTTTTGAGGTACCTAGTATCATGCTTATTTAAATATGAGAGTGAAATGCATATATGAAGGAAGGGAGAGCATAACTTTTTAAACTTCATAATATACTTTATTAATAAAACTAGACGTTCTCTTCACATGGTATGTATGAGTTTGATATTATATTTTAAACTGTGCATTACAGAACGATACAAGGGTGAATTAAAAAATTATTCATTTGAGCGATGTTGAATTTAACATTTTGATAGATTTTATAATATGACATTATGAAATACATAATTGTGATTCTATTATTATTATATGGTTTTAAATAGCACAAACATATTAAATTAAATTTTGTTTATCGCGTTTAAAATCCAATCAGCGATAAAATTTAATTTAAAAGCGATTTATTTAAGTTAACTACAGAACCATTAGAGTTGTTTTTTGAGGTACCTAGTATCATGCTTATTTAAATATGAGAGTGAAATGCATATATGAAGGAAGGGAGAGCATAACTTTTTAAACTTCATAATATACTTTATTAATAAAACTAGACGTTCACATCTACTACTTAATATCATATTTTAATCATTTGCAATAGTTAAATGTCGTTATAAAGGGCATTGACATTTTCGAGCATATAATTATTCTAGATCTATGTAATTTCAAAACAACTGTATTCACTTTAAATAATAGAATGGTGAAAGTTGAAAAATTTTATATCAGCTAATCTTGTATTAAAAAAATATCATTTACGTTATATGTAAATAAAAATATAACTGTTACTATGGAAAAAGTCTTAATTATTCTATGCTAAACATTGAATTTTGAATTAATGACAAGCTGTTAATAGAATGATAAAAACTGTAAGTATAACTCTACAAAAACCATTCTTATATTTTGTTTGTACTAGATGCTAATCACCAACGAAATGTTTCCACAAGTTATAATTTATGCACAAACTATTATAATGAAGATCTTTTGAAATATATGTATTCTATGTATACCTATTGAATATCATCGCAGTTATTATTTGCCAAATTTGTTTTATTTATAATTTTATAATAATATTATTACAGTTATAATTTAAAACTTTTATAAAACCAACATACAAAAAAAAATAAAAATGAATAGTGACGGTGTCCATATTTTTTAAATGATATGAGTATATCTACTGAGTATTTGCAGATTATTCGTATTAAAGTAGGTTATAACATATTATATTCTTTTTAAGTTTTGTTAAATCAACAGTATGAAAAAGTTAAAATATGTTTTTGTACCTATCTCATAGACCAAAATTAAATAAAAACTCTGAACATTGTTTTATTCAGTCATAACTCATATTTGGTTTTTAACATTCCCGTTATTCGTTTAATTATTTTTTATTGAATCGAAACTATTCACGACCTACGTTTGAACTGTAAAACTTTAGAAACTTTTTACGGTAAAACTGTATTAAATTAATTTCTCGTTAGAAAATAAATAACAATTTTTAAATATAAAAAAATTGTTTCGTATAAAATATTTATTTACCTTACAATCGAAAGGAGGCCAATAGTCCGAAGAGTACCTAAGTAATAGTACGATATTCTAAAGGATATTCTTTAAATTAGTACTTATAAGTTATAATACCTGATGATATATATAGAATTGATACAAATGTCATTGCGACCAAGAACTTAATACATGTGGTCTGTGGAGATTACTGTCAGAAACTTAAATCACATTGGAGATACTCAACAACTTTCATACAACATTTCTACAGGTAAACAGATAATCACAACTCTTAATTAAATGGGTTTTGTTTATTAAAAGTTAGCATCCGCAAATAGTTTTTTGAAAAATAGTGAAAATCTGTAAATGTATTAATCTAATCAACCAGTCTTAAGAGCCTTGGTTGTTATTACTTATTGGGCGGAATGGATCTACTCAGAATTATGAGTACAATGATTAATAATTGCATTCATATTTAAAAGACGCCTTATACCAACGTAAATCGTTTTTATGATTAAAAATTAAAAATATTCTTTTCATTTTTTTTTTATTCAACAACGCTTCGGAAATACTAAGTCATTATAACGTCTAAAATAATGATATTACATTATCTACATATTTAAATTGAACATAACATTATAATGAACAATTAATGATAACAATTGAGTTAATTTATAATTTTGATGTTTGCTAATTCGCCAAGTAACTCTTTTTTTTTTATCTTAAATGATGTATTTATTCAAATTTTGATTTTAAAAATATTTAACAATACCTATAAAATATTAACAGATTCATATTTAATTTAATTTCCTATAGGTACTATAGTTTTAAAACTAGCATGGTCTCCATAGCTTCTGAAACTATTATTAAGGATTACTAACATTCTGTTCTATCGTTAGTACATAAAATGTAATAATACAGAAAAATAAAAAAATGAATGATAAACATTGTTTAAAATTAAACTGTAGTATAAATAATATTTTTAATTAATGTATTATTCAAAACGAATAAATAAGGGGATAGAAATAATTTGTTTGTAAGGTTTTGAACAAAAGTGAATAAAATATTGATAATAGTTCATCACTATGTACGTATACCGTAATATCCCAACTTAACCTGGATATTGCAAATTGGAATTAAAATGATTCAATATTAAAAGAAACACACATCGATAAATGAAAATATAATTTATAAAAAATATGATATGAACATACTAAACTATTTTTGTTTTGTTTCTACGTCTATAGTGAACATTCTCACCTAAGAAAAAATGGCTCGCCTTTCGTTGGCCATTGTTTAAAAAAACATAATTATATTCGGACTTTCTGAGTGTTCACCATGACTGGTCGTTTAATAAAATTCCACTTTACATGATAGGAAGTGATGCCAAATTAAAATATTATTGTTGGATAAATATATTTTTTGTAGTTTCCCGTAGCTTATAATTCTTGTTGTAATTGGCGGTACTCCAATGGCAAGTGTAAGATTTCTGGTGCTGAGTTTTAAATTTTAATATGTATGCTATCAATGAAAATATAAATTCATTTGCATCTGTAGGTTTTTTATGTTCCAGCTATTTTCGTATAAACGTGTTATCATAATACCTTTACATACATTTTATGCTTAAAATATTATGATATACGTTTTTATATGTACGCAATGTCTATCATTTTTATTATTTGTTATAAAAAAACTTTTTTTTATCTATAAAAATTACATGTTCACACAGGTACGTAATATATAGACCTATATATTACATATATATTATCTACATTTTATTAAAAAGTATCATGTAGAATTCATGTGCAAAGTATATGTTTTAGTAAAACGTTAGATCGTAAAATAAAATAAAACATAACAACAATACAAATAAATACATTTATTAACAAATAATCTTAGTAGCCCAAACGCTTAAGTTTTTTTATTGCTTAGTAAAATTCAACATACAAAAAAAAAAAAAATATCTTGCTTATCTTAGTGTAATAAAATTTGATCTATTGTAATGTTAAACATATTGCTGCATATAGGTTTGGTTATTAAAATATGATATCACCTAATTACATAGGGGACTCGTAATATATATACATATATTATATACAAGGTGATTCACCAAGCATGCTATCCCCCTATTTTTCTCCAACAATGCATTTATTCAAATCTGATTTTTAAAATTTTTAAATATACTTTAGGACCACATCTTCAAATTCTTGAGATTTTTTGTATTACTTAATTAGTGTCAGGTGGAGATACAAACTACTGTTTTTCAAATGAGAACACTCCTATTCCGCTATAAGTTATAGAGTAAATAATTTTTTTGAAATTTTTGAAGTATCAAAATCAAAATTCAAACGAGTAGTTTTTGAGTCATTTAACTTTGAGTTTTAAGGTTAAAAGGTCGATAGTAATGTTAGGGTACATATGAAATGGTTATGTGTTTATAAGATAGATGGGCTTTTGTAATTTGAAAATTGTTGTCATTAATATTAATCTATCAATAATAATAATTTTAAAAAATGGCCCAAGTAAAATAAATACTAGATCCAATTTTAGGTTTACTTAATATTTATTTAAAACCAGTCTTAAGGACTATAATCCTTGATACAAACATTTTAATAACTAAGAAACTACTCATTCGAATTTTGAAAGTGGTACATCAAGAATGTTCAAAAAAATTATCCACTTATTAATTTACAGTTAAAGTAAATGGGTGGGAAGTTCTCACTAGAAAAACAGAAGTTTGTGTCACCACAGGACACTCCTGTAGTATTAAAAACAAATTCAAGAATTTGAAAGTATGGTGCTTGAGTATATAACAAATTTTAAAAATCAGAATTTAAATAAATTCATTATCAAAAGAAAAAATTTGGGTTAGCATGCTTGGTGAATCATTCTGCATATTGCATAAATATGTTCCGTAAAATTGGGTTTTATATTAAGTTAAACAAGAATCAATATTTACAATATTTGTGAATTGCAAAACATTTAAAATAAATACCTTCTCTCTGAATAATATTTATAATTTGAGTATTATAATACTTCTGGTTCAAAAGTACAAAACTTTGGTTTAATAAGTGCCTATTAAAATTATAATATTAATATCGACCTGCTTAAAAATTGTTTTTATCATAAATATTAATCCTTACCAAAATAATAGTAATATAATAACAAGTTCCGAACATATAAATAAATTGCTATGGATTTTATGATGTAATTGATTACAGTTTTGTATATTTTGTCTTATTATACTCTATAGT